GTKWTWTKTKSCYTGATATTTTGCATGTAAATGGATCCCAATGTGTTGCCACTTGGGCCCTTGGTTACTTGTGAAGTTATTAGCATAGTTYAAAATCAATTCATTCAGATGAGTATGTGCCAGATTGTGCCCCTAGTTTGGCATTTCCACCCTTGGGCTTTTTGAGCTCAAGATGATCTTAAAATGAAGCTCCTAAGAGGTAGGTTGTAATTTAATGTTTTGTTACATAAACCAGRGCTCATTTAGTATTCAAAGTGCAAATTTTCATGGCACTTGCACCTGCTCTTTTGGAGGGATTTTGAGACATTAGCACTGTGTTTTCGAGACACCATTTTGTCTTTGTAAGCAAAGTGTAAACTTGCTTAATCGTCTCCATTTAGATGATTAAAATAATGTGCTATTTTCATGGAATTACTTACACAAATTAAAAAGCTCTTTCTAGGTAAATTTASCTTACAGTACATTTGGACTTTGAAATATGATATAAAGTAATTTAATCCAAAAGTATAGAATGAAACATGTTTAAATCTAAACTATCTAAGAATTATTTTAGATAGATAGTGGAATAGTCTCTAAATATTGGCTAGTAATTATGAATTATGTATAGAACAAAAATATTTCATTTTTTAAGAATACCCTTGGCTTGTTTATAGCAAGCAAGGCAACTATTTGCTGGAGAAATKTTTGTTTTGTTTGTAAAACAATATTTTAGCTCTTTTAAATGATATTCAGGCACATATTGCAACTCCCTGTTGGTATGTTTATTAAATAACAAGGATGTGAAAATAGAAAAACATCATAGTACAATGTATGATTTAATATATCAGTTTTTTCTATCTATCTTGGCAAAAAATTATAATCTAAGAATGAATAAAAACATTAGACATTGCGTACTTGAATTTTTTTGTTTTCAAATGATTAAAAGCAATTGTTTACAATGAAATTACAGTATCATGGTGGGTATTTTTAGCAATAATTTGTAATGTGGTTGTTGTATTTTTTTTATTGTTATATTGTACAATACAATGTAGGGTATTTTTTATGCCATTAAGATTTTTTTAAATATTCAATATAATGTTTCCATATTATGAAATTCAAATCCACAAAATAGCCGATTTACATTGAGACACATGATATTTTTTGTTATTGATATGAAATCATTTATTTATCCCTTGTAAGTAGAATATTGTTAACTGATACTTTTATGAATTACATTGTAATTTCAGCTGTACAGTATATTTTGCAATTTTATATCATACTCGTTTATATTATCAGAATATTTTAATCCTTACAATTGAAACCTGTTAAGCTCAGATTTCTGAACTATATTGTAATCTTGAAATTTAAAGCTATGCATGCAATAATACYTGTCTAGCTCCCTTTTAAAAAAATATAAATAGTTACAAAAATGTTATAATGAAGAAAACAAAAAGCTGTAAACATGACCACAGGTAACCCAAACTTATTATTTAATAGGATAAATAAAAAAAATAAATAAATAAAAATAAATTCATAAATAAATTCATTCTTGAATTCTCTGAAATAAACTCCTCAAGAATTGTAAACAATCCTAATTCCATCAATAAGATAGAATGATTATTAATCAGTAGTTGCGTATTATAAATAATGAAAGAGGTTTTGAACTCTTTAAAGATTCCCTTTCCTAGTGGTCATTATTATTGTATATTGTTGACTAATAAACGTTTTTCATATTAATTATTTGTCATTTTGCTATGAAAACACGAAATCTGACATAAGGAAAATTGTTGATCAAAATTTTGTCATGCAATGCTTGTGTTAGTGAAAGGTGTTATCTACATGATATACATGTAATTTTGTCAAGTAAAAATTGCTATGAAAACATGAAAATTTATCTGATCAAAGTTACTCAATTAAAGAAGGACTCCTACCCAACTATACCAATATTGTATAATTATTTGTGAACAATAATTAAATGAAAAAGAAATACATGTAACAGAAATGCTACTTGATGCCATCGATTAGCTCAATTCACAGAAACTGTGTTTTAAACAAACTTTGGTTTTCATAACAGACAGGTCCAAAAGAACCAAACCCAAACTGATGTCCAGGAARCGGCAACCTACACCAGAAAAATCTGGATCATCAGAGCGTGATTCCTCACCAGCRCACAAGAATGGTTCCAAGTCACCAAACAGAGGTCGGTCTGGYCGCAAGACRTCTCAGTCATCAACAGGAAAGAAGAGCGACCTGCGAGCACGATACTGGAGTTATCTGTTTGATAATTTGAAGAGAGCTGTGGATGAGATTTACAGTACTTGTGAAACTGATGAAAGCACTGTAGAATGTGAGGTAAGTCAAACTGGCTTATGCTTGTACAGTGAGGAATAGTCTCCTTCAGGGTTACCTGCACCATCTTGAAAGGTAACCATGCTTTTGCATCTAAGCGAGACGACCATTGAGTGTGCAATGATAGAAACCTTATTTCACACCTACAGATAATTATTCACAGGTATCTATCATTGCACGCTCAATGGTTATCTCGCTTCCAAGGCATGGCTACCTTTCAATATGGTGCATGTGACCGTGAAGGGGACTATTGCATGAACAAGGTGGAATGCGTCCATGCAGTTTTCTGGGCTTCCAGAAAATGTTTATGTTTATGTTTATATTATAACCTTAGAATAAATGGTGGGAACTAGTGGTAAACTAGTGTGAGCTGCRTCGGTGTTTCTAAAGAAACAGTTGTGTGAAGAGATCAATTTTAACACCGTAAAAAAGTAGGTGAAACAACTTGCTGACGTGTCGGACATTAATCTTTTGTCTGAGTAAATAAAGATTACCAAAGGATTAACGTCCAAAACAACAGTAAGTTGTTTCACCTACTTTTTTACAATCTTAAATTTATATCTTTACAAAACTGTGACCTTAGAATAGGCAATGTGCACTGACACCATTTTGTACAACAAAACATGATAGGAATGGAAGTCCTTGCACTTTTTATACCCCCTAGAAAATCTTCATAGGATTAGAAGGGACATGAAAATTGCCTTCATCAACATTGACATCTCCAGTGAAAGATTAAGCACATTTGATATATAGAGGATATTACATGGGCGCGCGGAGATACGGATTTTATCTTTGAGTGTTGAGATTTTCAACACGGATTTTCAACACGAGAAGATAAAATTCGTATCTCAAATCAACCATGTAATATTCTCTTTATCATATAATTAAATATGAAAGCAAATTATGTCAGAAAATATCTTTTTTCTTACTTCCACTATATAGAGAAACCTCGAATGTGTTATTTTCACTAGTGAAAATATTAATTTTACGTAATGGAGAAATATAGGTATTTCATAGATAATTATATGATAAATATTTTTTAATTGATATACAGAATGTAATTTTATCCATAAATATGATTAATGGCATTTATTGTTCACAGGAGGTGATCATGATGCTGGACCAGTGTCGGCGTGATTTTGCTGCATTGATAGAGAGAATCTGTGTRCAAGATGCATTTGAGAAAGCAGACTACAAGGACAGGTCAGATGAATTCAAACTAGATTTAGACAGATAGATGGATGACAGACTGAATGGATTAATAATTTAATTCCAATGGATGTTAATGGTCACATTTCCWTGAAGAGGGATTTGTGGGGGAGGAAGGGGATGTCAGCAATCCTCTCGGGCAACTACAGTACACTACAACAAAGTTATTTGCCTAAAAGAATTTTTTTTGCCTGAAGAATTTCAATCCATAASTGATGATATYAGATGATATTGGCTTTGCAAAGAAGTTTTGCACCTTGATGATGAATATCAATGGAAAAAATATATAAAAAAATAGGAAAAATTGATAACCCGTATGCAAATGACTTGGTTTTTGTCTTTTACAATTTCGAACAATGTTAATGTACAGACTGTACTAGATGCTTGAATAAATTAGCAGAGTCAATAGACTTTATTACAGCTGCTGTATTCAATAATTTGTTAAACTCGTTATTTTGAGTGAATTGAGAGACAGTAGAATGAAGGCAGACAGACAGATCTCAAAGACTGTCAGACAGACAGACAGATCCTAAAGATTGTCAGACAGACAGACATACCCCAAAGACTTTCAGACAGACAGACAGATCCTAAAGATTGTCAGACAGACAGACAGACCCCAAAGACTGTTAGAAAGATCAGAGATAATCAAGCATAAGCAACAATGAAAACAAGTTGATTGAATACAAATTCATTATTTGAAATGTGTTTCTTTTTCTACACTAAAAGACCAACATCATTAGCGTGGGAAGTACGCAAATCTTCGCCAGGAAAATCACTAGTCACCAGCCCTTGCACTGTCCAAATGGAACGAAACATCCAAAGCCCAGTGAGGAGCCTGGACTTCAGCAACACTCGAACCACATCAACGACTATTGCTCCAAAGCCAACCGTCCCCACCCAATCYCATGCYGTTATTCAAAACGGGCCTTCATGGGCCGATCGGGTTAAGGGGACCCCYTCTGTAGTGACCAGTACGACCAAAATTGTGCCGTCTAGTACGACTGCCTTTACTATGAACCAAGTATTGCAGGACAACAGCCGAAATGCCTGTGTGAGTCCAGATATAGGAGATGGTACAGACGAGGAGGGCTGGGAAACAGTCCGACATGGRAAGAAACACACCCTTCAAGGTAACCATGGTGACGCGAGAAACAACAGAATKAAAAAACAGAATTCTCATGATAAATCACCCCAGAGTAACTATGGCCACTTACGAGCCAATCAGAGATCTCAGGATGGAGAAGGTATAAAAAGTCCACAAAGTTACCATGGTGAAACAAGAGCCAATCACAGCCAAGCGAAAATCTCGCCGCGGGAAACTGGACAGTCTAATGGTTTAGCAAATGGAGTTACTCTCAATGGAGATGTGCACTGGAAAGTTAACCCTAATTTACTCTCTCCTCCAAGCAATCGTAAAATCTCACTCACATCTGATGAAGATGAAGATCTTGCACTCCCCTTGGACGACAGCGATGCTGAGAAGGAAATGAAGCTGGAAGCAGAGCATGAAAAAGCAATGTCGGACGCCATTGAGGAAGAAGAAACTCTGTCYAAAGAGATAGAGCAGTGGCAAGAGCAAGCACTTGCATCAGCTATTGAACACGAACAGAGTTTGAACAGAGAGATTGCAACGGAGGAAGCGTTTGTTACAGCGCTTAACGGAGATGTTGAGACACCCACTTCTGAAYTAGAGACTGAGACRGAGGGAGAAGGGGATGGCAACAGTGCAGGCACTGCAGAGGTAAATTATATTATAAATTATATTATGTGAAATGATAAATGTTTTACACTGCATTACATGAACAGGGCATGGTCAACCAACATTCTATGTGGTCGCGTTTTGGATGTTTCATTTAAATATGGAAAAAAGGTGCTTCAAGTATTCGTTCGCAATCCGTTTCCATCTTACGGTTTTATAAGGTCGAATCTTCCAATACATCTATCATAGTGCATAAAGGGATAATAAAGAGTAGAGGTTTGCTTATATTATGATGTATTTTTGAATATAAAGAAAAGCACGCAAAGGATGCCGGTTGAGCATGGACCTTTAATTTTTTATTTTCATTTTTAATACATAAGTTCATTGTGTTCATTACAGACATCACTTGAAGACTCTGGAAAGGCGATAACGTGGGACGAAATGGTAGCCAACTATGAATGTAGGTGTCTCGATAATAATCCTCTTCTTTTTGCTACTATTTTACGTACTCGCCCTTGTTCTTTCTTTTCTTTTTCATATTCAACTGTCAAACCTCTATTAAGCGGTCACCTTGGAGAAAGACCAAGTGGTCGCTTAATAGAATTTGACCATTTGTTATTGTTGACGTTTACACGGTAAATATATATGGGAATCGACTTCTTGGTAATTCATGAGTGACCGCTTAATGAAGGGTGGCCGCTAAATAGAGGTTCTAGTGTATCAGTTCAGTTTGCTCTCCGTTTTATTTCGTACTTTTTGCCGTCTTCGTTTTCATTTAATAAGTATATCACTCTCCTTTGTTGTGTGTTTGCTCTTTAGCTAAGAGAGAATCTGGTGATAACTTGAGTTGGGGTGATACAGTTGAATGTTCTGAAGAAAGACCACCAGGAAGAGCTGTAGCGATGCACCAAAAACTATCAGCACCAACAAGAAAAAGGTATTTTATAATAATAATTATTGTTATTAATAATCGAGGAGGAAGTAACAATCAAATAAATGAATGAACAGTTGAAAAAAAGGAAGAATAAATGGATTCATGAGTGAGCGAATGAATAAATGGGTGGACTATATATGACAATWWCTTTTGTTGTAAACTTCGTATCTTTTCAAAACTTTACTATATACCTAGATCTACAAACGATCTTTCCAATGATATAAAAATCAAAAAATCATTAAAATGTGACGGTTTTGGGTACGCTGATACCTTAATAAATGTTTTATTTATTTACATAGACCATTGGCCGAAAAAATACGTATTCACGAGGAGAAACAGGTACTTGAAATCATTGATCACATTYATGCTTCGTATCACTAGTTGATTATTTAAAATTGAAGTTTGTATTTGTGTGATTTAGTTCAAAGCTCGTCAACAAAGGGAAAGACTTTTAGAAGAACGACTCCAAAAGCTGCAAAGTTTGTCAGA